TGCCTGTATTTCAGTATGCAAGCTGCAGAAATATGTGCACTATGAAATTGCAGTTAGTTGGATCCTTGACTCAGAATAGCCCTCCCTAAAGGATGTTAACTGATAGATTAACTTTCTGAAGGGATTTGTCTAGTAGAAAACAGCCAGGAAAAAAAATTTAAATCACCTATTGTATTGGTGTCTAAACAAACAGATGTGGAAGTATGGAATGGTGGACTCAACATTTGAGTCAGGTGATAATGCTCATCAAAGAAAGGTGTTCTTAAACACACTGTGGACTTGGAGTGTTTGTGACTGGAGGTAAGCAGCCTGTCTGCATTCTCCTCATTTTCAGGGAAGGATGTGTGTGGTACAGGACTTTCCATTTTAAGGAGCATAGATAAATGGGGTGTGTCTAAGTGAGAGGGTATAAAACCATGTTATTATATAGCTCAGAGAAGAGGATACTTAGATCTAAAACTGTTTTAAGTATTTTTGTCATGGGAACAAGGCGCTGGATCTATTTTCTGACCTTTGGAGTGTTGAGTGGGGGGAAGTGGGAGAAATTTTAGGAATGATTTTGATTCAGTAAAATTTGTAAACTTTAATAACTTCAGAGATGTCTAAAACAAGTTGTCTTGACAGTGGCGATTTTGGGGTTATTGTAGTGGGAATTTTTATACTAGGTGATTAAACAAATGGTTCTGAACTTTTAGTCCTCCGAACCACTGTTGTAGATTGGTGAAGGTAGTGTGGAGATGAGACATTTGAGCATTATCATGTAATGTTTGATACAACGAAAGTTTATACAGTTGATTCTTGAACAATGCAGGGAGTCGGGGGCACTGATGCTCCTCATGGTCAAAAATCCATGTTTAACTTTTGATTCCCCAAAACGTTAACTACTAATAGTCTGTGGACTGGAAGCCTTACCAATAATATAAACAGTCGATTAACACATTTTGTATGCCATATGTATTATATATTGTATTCTTACAATAAAAGTTAGCTAGAGAGAACATTTTAATAAGAAAATCTTAAGGAAGAGAAAATATGTTGACAATACCGTACTGTATTTAACAACAAAAAAAGATACTGTACTGTATTTAACCAAAAAAAAAAAAAATCCAGGACTTACATACTACAAAATCTTACATACATACAAATAAATGTATGTAGTACATTATAACTATGTACTACATAGTAGTATGTAGTGGACCCTTGTAGTACAAACTCTGTTGTTCAAGGGTCAGCTGTATAAAATATATTAATTATGAAGCACTTCTATGTTTCATAAATGAACACCTGTAAATCCACCACTTAAAAAGGAACTAGAGCACTACCCATATCCATGACATGTTTCTGTAATATTTTGGCCATGATTAGATCAACTTGATGGTATAACATTAACAAAAACCTCTGATTGCCAGGACTTACATACTACAAGCTTTGGAGACAAAACTTTTTAAAATGTGGGGTTAGGGGACAAGATAATAAATGGGGTCCTTGCATACTAAGGTTGGAAAACAGTGGATTTAGTTGAATCATTCAGTAAGCAAACCTCTAATTATATGAGGTAAAGTTGCAGAGAGGTTAAGTAAGAGACTTACCTAAATTCACACAGTTACTGTTAGAACTGGAATCAGAACTTTTTTTTTAAGATTTATTTTTTATGTAGTCTTTATACCCAGCATGGGGCTTGAACTTAAACCCTGAGATCGAGTTGCACGTTCTATCAACTGAGCCAGCCAGGTGCCCCAGAACTTGTTTTGACTTGAGTATTGTAAATAACATAGCAAAAAGTGCTAGTGTGATTTCCTGGTTAGAAAGGTGCTGTTGATACAGGTAGTACTCAGCTGGTTAGACCCCCACAATGAGTAAGATTATAAGATCTTTGAGCACTAGGACTTGGTCATCTTTTCATCCCCATCAGTACAGTGTTGCTTATGATTTGTATTATTGAGTGATGTATCTGAGACTAAAAGAAACATGGTAGAAAGACTTTTTATCTTAAGAAAAGTATAATTCATAATTACATTGTTTGTACCTTTGCCTCACATACTGTCATTAGAAAAGAAAGGTCAGAATTTCTTTCCTCTTGACTTCTTTCTTGACCTTAACAACCTGTGGCCGATTTGATGGTCCTGCTTTGTGCTACCACCATCTCTAATCTATGCCTCTTACTGTTTTTCTACTTTAGAGTATCTGTTTATATATATCCCATATGAGACTAACTTCTTTGAAAGCTTGAAACCATGACTTGTTTAACTTTAATGCCTTAGAACCTAGCTCATTTACCCACCCATCTGCCTAGTCCACTGAGTATTACCATAGGGCCCACTGTATTCAAGGCACTATTCTAGGAGCTGGGGCTACAGTGGTTAGCAGAATCTCACAGAACTTTCAGTTATTAATCAGAGAATCACATTAATATTTATAGAAGTACAAATACATTTAAATGGTAAATGTATCTTCTATTTTATCATCTAAGTGGATATGTGGTCATTGATTATTGTAATATTTATGTATTTTTTAATTTAGTCATCTGAATTTTCATACAGCTCTTGGTTTTTCTAAGTTTGACAGACTTGTTTACCTGGAAATATGTTGTTTTCTTTTTTATTCTTTTGTATTACTCTGGTTACAGATTTTTTAATATTGAACTCTTGCATTCATGGTATAAATTCCACTGCCTTCGTGTGTTACTCATTTGGTATGCTGGTGGAGCCTATTTATTTAGTATGTTTGCATTTATATTTATAAGCAAATTTTATCTATTGTTTTCCTTTATGCTATTATCAGGATTTTTATACCGGCATTATTAACAAGAATTAAGCAGTTTCTGAAGAGGAAATTTAAATGTAATAAATTAATATTGAAAAGTGCTTTTATATAGAGACCTGGACTAAAGGATATATGCATAATTTTAATTAAATTTCCCTAATGTCCTTTGGTTAATTACTTGCTGTAATTATGTAATTATGTAAACAGTTATTTATGTTTAAATTATTATTTGGTGGTTGAAAACTTGATTGGAGAATTGCTGTCGCATGCTAATATAAAATAAACAATAGTTTGATATTGGGCATGTTTTAATACTATTATTAGTATTTAATAAGTATTATTAAAGTAGTATTAAAAAGTAGTAGTATTAAAAGAAGTAGTATTAAAGATTTAAGTAGTATTAAACTAGTATTAAAAAGAACTTAAGGAATGAAGTCGTCTTGCCTTTATAATGTAGTTAAATCCAAGGTACCTTCTTTTGACTTTTTAAAACTTTCATTTGCTGTTCAGAGATGCACATTTGGTAAGCTTTGACAAGCAAATTGTTATTTAAGAGATAAGATGTGTTACAAAATGAATGTTGCCATTGTTGAAGCAGAAAATGTATTGTAATACAGTATTTTCACTGATTTAAGACTAACTGGGTAAGAACACCTTTGATCCTGGCTTTTTGCTGTGTTGGGTTTTATTTAGCAAAGTGATATAAATAACTAGTTAAGAAAATTGAAGTGTGCATTTATATTTCATAGTTCCTTATAGCAGTAGATTGAAATTCCATGTTTGGAAGGCAGTCAAAATACATTATAAAAATAAAAGGCATTTTACTTTTAAATACTAATGGACACAGCCTCTTCCCCAAGGAGGATGTAATCTGTAGCATGGAGAGAGAGATATAGAGGCATCCAGCTAATTTAGTAATGACAACCCTTATTAGACAGTAGGTTCTAATGGGCAGGGGTCTATCCTCTAACACATTGTGGAAGCTTTAATAAAGAATTTTTGAAAGAATTGATTTCTTTGTGCAAGTCTTGATTCATTGGATTTCTTATATTTTTTCTTATAAGAAGTATATTTATATACCTGGGAACTGTCCTAATAATTTTTTAAAGGTCATTGACTTTAGGTACCTACTTTTCTTCTTTCATTTCATTCATTAACGTGATGTAGTTTGATCTCTGTAAACCATCTTTTCCTTGAAACTTCTCTGATCACCAGTGGCTTAGTGGTTAAATCCAAGGTACCCTCTTTTGCTCTTTACCTTACCATACTTTTGTGGTATTTGACACTGTTGATTACCCTATTCTTGGTTCTGTCATTCTTCAGCTTCTTTGACACCTCTTTTTCCTACTTCTATCCACCTTCATTTCTTCGTGGTTTGGATCTTCTTTGCTTTATTCCTTAAATGTTGCTTTTTCTAGGATTCATTCAGTCCTCCTTTCTCCCTCTGTCTTCTCTAAGACATCTTTTCTGTTCCTGTAGCTTTCACTAACATACTTGTGTATCAAACTCAGACTTCTGCTGAACTTAAAATCTGTGTTATCCATTGGACATCTGTTTGGATATTTCAGAGATACCTAAAATAGCTAAGGAAGTAATCCAGTTCAAGATCTCATTCAGACAGATTAGTTCTGAAGTATAAAAGAGCCATTGTTATTAGTTTTGTCTGGTAGGCATTCTTACTTGATTAAAGCTCTTATTTGGAATGACTGGCCTCATTTAAGCATGGAGAAATTAAGTAAAATAACAGATATATCAAATAGAGGGTAAGAGTTTGGGCTCTGCAGTTAATTTAAATAAAATATAGGGGCGCCTGGGTGATGGAGTCAGTTAAACGTCCAACTCTTGGTTTCAGGTCAGGTCATGATCTCAGGGTTTTGAGATCGAACCCCT